AGCTGAGCAGCTGGGCTTCATTGTCATGGGTGCCTATGTGCGGGACTACACGCATGCTTCCAATCTATGCACTCACTGAGCAACAGCACAGTCCTGTGCATCCAACATTTGACCTGCTTGCCAGGCTTGCAGAGTTCTTTCTCCGGTGGGTCCGGGGCACAGGGCACCAGGGTCTTTGCTTGGCCAGTGCCTTGGTGGCCTTTTTCCGAGAGACCGGAGGACCAGGCCAGCGCAGCCGTTTGCTACCAGCCAAGACCATTGTCCGGAGATCCATTGGCAAGCAGCGCAAGCAGGCTGGGTGGCTGTCACCACCATGTCTGACAGGCAGTTTGGAGTTGTGGCTGACAGGTACCAGCTGTGAAAAAGGCCACTATCCAGCCCACCACTGACATCAACTCATTGACTTTGCAGACAGCCTTAGCCATGACAGCTCAATTTTTGGATGGCCGCGTTCATCAGATGATACTGGAAGTAGATGGTGAATGGAAAGTGCATGGGGGCATGCCCCTTGCCAGTCATGTTGTCTTTTTGAGCAGCCAGTTTTTCTGCAATCTTTGAAGCCTAGTTGACCATCATCAGTACTAGGAGATTAGCCAATGCTCAGGCTGTCTCGGCTTGAGATGCGGGCCAACAAGCTGATGCCTGTGCACATATGCCAGACCTTGTTTTGGTTGCAGAGGTTGGCCAGCCCCCAAGAGTGCGACCAGGTTGAATGGATTTCTGGCAGCATTTGAAATCTTAAAGCAAGCAGTCAAGTTTGCCAAGTTAGCAGCACAATGCAAAAGATTTGGTCAAAAAAGGTTGCGAGTTTGACCAACTACTTGGGCTGCAGGAATGGTACTAATGCCAAAGCATTTCGACGCTGGAGTGCTTGCCCAGACCCGGCTCAGATGCTGCAGCAAGTGCTTCTGCAGTGGGAGAGTTGCCGGGAGGCACTGCCTTCCAAGAAGCAAGAGATCAGGAAGTTGATTTCTGAGCTCACTGTAGACCCGGTCACGGTCACTTCTTGCAAAGTGCTGCAGGTTCTTAAGAGTCTCGGTTTTTTCCGGCATTGGCATGTTTGTTGTACACCATGCTTGATAAATCAATGACATTGCAGGTTGGTAGCGCTGCCAGCATTGTGCTCAGGAACTTCCTGTTTCGCAAGCGGAGTGCCTCAGCTTCCAGTCAATTGTGTGCAGACTTCCGTGGAGTTCTTTGATTGCTGAGATAATTGGTATGCTGTTGAAGTTCCAGACCTCAATCCATGGGTCCATGCTGCTTTGGCCAGGAGGTGCAGTCAAACCCATCATTCTATATGGCATAGCTGTAGCGTTGCTTTCACGCTAATTTGAATATTCTTGGCCTTTTTGCAGGAGGGGTGTGGCTTTATGAGTTGTTGTATGAGGCCAGCTGTTCAATTGCAAATTTATAGCATTCGGCCTGCAGTCTTTGTGACATGGGCACCATGGTATACTGTACTCAATGCCAGGCTCCAGGCACTGGGCACCAGACATTGGGCCAAAAAAACAGGACTGTCCTTGAATCCTTCAATCAGTCTTGGGTACGGTATCTTCGGCATGTCCTGTGCATTGTGATTGCATGTTTTTTCTTCTGCAGCCGTTTTGTTGTGACCCAGCCTTGAACATTTTGCACCATGGCTGCTGGCGGCAAAACTGCCCTAACCATCCTGGGCTATGCAGCTTGCCCATCCCAGACTTGGGATCGCTTGGTAGAGGAAGTGGTGAGAGAAGGGGGGGAGGCCACACTTTGGAGTTTTTCTTTGCCGTAACACCGTTGAAAGCAGTGACATCTTCCATCAAGCTGGCAGCTAGGAAGCTGGGGCTGTCCCTGTCAGCCACAATTCCTTCAAGTGCCAAGAAGTTCCCGAACATGGGGCGGCAAGTGATCCTCTGGAGTTTTCCAATTTCCAGGTCTTCAAGCTGGCCACATCTCTCAATGTGCCCTCAGTCTTGGCTGCTGGGGAAATCAGAGTTGAGGATGGGGTCTACCGTGTTGTTTGCGATGTCTTTGAAGCTGGTCTGGTGGGCACCTTCAAAAACTCAGAGGATTGGTCTCTGGAAATGACGTCACTGGGCTGGCTGAGGGATTGCCAGTTGTTTCAATAAACATACAAACTTGCACTGCCCTGGAGATCATTTTACTTCAGATTCAGTTGGCCCACATGTCACAGTGGACCCTTCAAAGCACCTAAATGACCCTTTGCGCCACACCCACGACAATAGCTGATTGCTTAAGGGTCATTTGGTTGCACTGAAGGGTCCTGGGAACAGGACTTCTTTCTTTCTAGACCACTACCATCTTTTTGAGATTCTAGCACCCTTGACACTAGCAGATTACCCTTTAATGCTTTTCAGGCCAGGATCCATGCAACATAGGGTTAGAAGGCTGCATTGAAAGGTACTAAGGTGCTAAGAGGCAGGACACAGGTGAAACGCATCGCACCACCAACCTCGGTGCCGCT